TCAAAGCCATAGGACGTTGGATGGTACCCTTACCGGCGCGAGGGAATGGCTTATCGGGAGTGGTGACAGCGATGAACTGGCGACCAATCTGGCCATGTGCAACAGTTTCCTTATTCGCCTTGACAACCAGGGGCCAGACATCGTCGATGAACTTCTCCTTCTCCTCCTCCGTCTTGAGGTCCTCCATGGGCTCGATAATGAGCAGCGGCTGGAAGCGCATAGCTCCGGCAACAACGGCACCCTTGACTCTCGGGTGACCGGTAACGATCTCCTCAATGGTGACCGGGTTCAGCTTCTCACCGTTGGAGAAGACGATAATGTTGTCGGCACGGCCGTAGTACATCCAGTGGTTGGGAAGGGTAGGGTGCTTGCGATAGAGATCCTTGGTGGAGTACTCCTTGGCGTCAGGGAAGGTGTAGAAAATACCCTGGAGAGGATCCTCCTTCTCCTTACGCACAATAACCTGCTCGTAAATGTCCTCATCCTCACCGCTGGCCTGGCGCCATTCCACGCCCAGACGCTCAGAGTCGACGATGAACCATTGCCAAAGTTCCAAGTTCTTCTGGAAATAGTATGGAAGGGGAGCGGCCTCAGTGAAGGCGATGACACTGCAGACTTTGACGCCGGCCTTGGTGAGAATGTTGCCGGCCTCGCGTGCGAGGTTACCACCGCCAAAGTTCACACGCTTGAGCTTCTTGAGAGCCTCGATACCCTCAGGCATGTGAGCCATCTCCTCAAGAATGGCAGGAGGTAGGATGATGTTGTCGATCTTGGCGTATTCGACAGCGTCCAAGACGGTCTGAGGGGTGAGAGGGCGGTCAATGAAGCCCAATGCGACAGGGTGCTTCCAGTAGATGGCGGCAAAGGTGGACATGTAGCATCCAGCGGCGTGGAATAGGGGCATCGGCAGGAAGATGCGTTCGCCGAGCATAATAGACTTAATGCAGTTCTCGGAACCCATGAAATCCGGGAGGTCGTGGAATGCATCGGCGACAGCACACATGCCCACGCGGGCGACAATGGGCTTCGGGAGACCGGTGCTACCACTCGTGTGCAGAACGACGACAGGGTCCATCTTGGCCTCCTCGAAGGTCTTATCGTAAGGGAAGTGAGGGACTTCCGTCTCGTCGAGCCAGGCGTCGGCAGAGCTCACCATGATGGCGTCCATCTGGCGTTCTTCCAAAAGGGGCTGGATGACATCCTTGAATGATGAGTCGAAGCAGATGATGTTGCAGTCCGTCTTCTCGAAAAGGTTCATCTGGCCTTCATGCGAATTCCTGGGGGAGATCAAGAGTGCCTTGTATCCAGCCTTGATACAGGCGATCATGACAATCATGTAGCGGGCATCGCTGGGGCCGATGTAGGTGAGAGTAGGGAAGCTTTCGGGTTCAGGCTTGCCCCTCTTGTCGATAATTCTGTGAGCTATGCGGTTCACCGCGTTGGCGAGCTGCTTATAGGTGATCTTCCTCCATCCATCTTTGGGGTTGGATGAGCGGGGAACTGAGAGGACTTCGGCGTGAGGGTCTGACTTGGCGATCTCGTCGAGCACCTGAGGGATCAAGCGCTTTCCGTACTGAGTCGTGGCCATGCTGTTGTTGGTATATTGGTATTGGGTTGTTGATGTTGTGATGAAATCAATGATACTAGTAGTTCAAATAGGGGTATATGTGTAAACTTGATGATAACTCAATGATGAAAACTGTGCGTGAGTAAGACGAGCTGTTTCTGATATTGATGACAGAAGCGGCCGAGCAAGAGGCTTTATACATTCAGAGAAAACTCTCTCCTCACGACTACGAGTCGCCATGGCCGTGAGGTCCAGAACCACAGCGGCATTTTTCCTTGGCCTACAAGTCCGCCCATTAGGAAGTAAATCGGCGAAGACATGAGACGACGACGTCATGCCCACATGGCTAGCAGTTCCCACCGCCCTGCAACGACAAAACATCGAATGCCCCTCCCGGACCGCTATCGGCCGGTCGGCGCTGAACGGTGCGCCGGGGCCGATGTGGGTAGCGAGCGAAGGAGGGAGGCTTGTTTGGAGTTCATTGTCAGTGAAGCCTACCGACCGGTCTTCAGTCTAGAAGAAAGAAGGATCGGTCGTGGCGTAGGGGCGAGCCGCGAAGTGCTTATCCACCAAGGGGGATATCTGAAGGGAGGGCGGGCGGTCTCTGACGGACAGAGTGGAGGCGAAATATGGAGGTAGGACGGAATTCGGCCGTCAAAACAGGGCCTGCCCGGGCTCCATTTGTTCTATGAACAAGTGCGATTGCGAAACCGCAAGAGGGCCACTTTCGGTACTCGACTACGGCTCCTCACAGATGGAGCTCGACTTCTGTGGGGGGGAACGAGGAACGCCAGAGAACAGAGAGACAGCTTGGACACGAGGGAAACCCCTGGCAAGACGGACTCTCCGTGCGACGAGATGTGCGTGCTCACACAGACGTGGGCGGCGCTGCAGGCGTGAACGCTGTGTGGGGTCGATCGAGAGGTCAAGCTTTGATGCTAGGACGGGCCGTGATATCCGCTCTTCTCTCGGACGCCTCGGAGAGAAACAGGGCCAAAATGTGGGAACAGCTGAACGGCTTTTTGCCTAGGCATCTCCACTGTTTCCCGAGTGACGGTCTCTGATTGAGTGGCAAGGGGGACTGCAGCAGACTGGAGAATAGAAGCATTTGAAGACGAGATGGCCAGGGGGGAGCGGAAAGAGATACGGCTGGACGGCAACGAAGATTGAGTGACAAAGTGACAAAGTGACAGAAAGACAGATACGACAGACAAGGAAACAGTACGCCGTAAGTTCTGGGTGGCATCCATCCCACTGCAGCAGTGTGCAGACAGCCACATAGCCAAGCAAAGCTAAGCATCAAGATAGGGCGGTAAGCGGGAGGCGGCCGGCATTTTTGCGGCGCGCACGGGAACAGATTAGATTGCAGATCTCCCTGTACCTGGCCAAGCCTGGGGTTACAGCGGCCGACGGTGCCTTAGCCACTCATCACGGAGCTTCGCGCTTTTCTCGTCGCTGTGGAGGATCATCAGAGTTGGCCGAGCTGGGGCTGCATACGTCAGCGAACATGACCTCATCCGCCACATCTTTTGCTTCATTTGAAGACTTGATCAAAGCTTTTCTTCCGACCACCGGCTCTTTTTTGATTTACTTCCAATTCGTCTTTAGATCTCATCTTTTGTGAACTTGAAGAAGAGTCTGCTGCCCACGGCCACGGACTTTGGACTTGTTGCTTAGGGCCGTCTGTAGCGCTGATGATCCCTGTTCCACAGCCTGGAAGATGATCCGTCGCTGGGATGATTCAGTCACTGCATGGTCGGTAACCTTCGGTCGGAACCCTGTTCTCATCTGCAAACCATCGTTAACTCCGTCCGTTCATGACAGCCTGCATCCATCTGGAAATTGAAGCTCGGTATAGTTCTCGAGGATAGATAATCACACATCCAAGTTATTTTCACCTCGGTAAGTTGAGATGAATAGAGAGTTTCAGTCATTGTTTAATCCTTAAGGATCACTCAGGACCTATACGTGATCTACTTATGCAAGCACCACACTTCCCGCTCTCGCTTCCATCCCGCAAGGCCGCCGGGAATTGCACGCAAGGTCAGCACTAAATCCGCACGACACGTCAACTTCAACCAGACGCTCCGGGTTACAGCTTGGGCCTCAGTGCGCTGAGATTCCGAAGCGACAGACACATGTCGCGGATTTATGCCGCTGCGTCGATTGCTTCATGTCGCGCATCAGATCTGCAAGACCCGGAGAACCTTTCAAATCCTTTGCAAATCTTGTCCGGCGTCTTAGTGATGACAGACTACTGCATCGCTGACCGACGGCTGCTGTGTAAGTCACACGTAGAAGCGTGGAATAGTCTCACCAGCCACGGGCATCAAGCACGGCAGATGAATCCAGTCCCATGCGATGATTTGATCAGTTAGTACCTCTCTAGGAGCGGTGAGAATCCGCCATGCATACATAATTGGAGGGCATCACGATGTCCCAAACACCAGCGCAGCTAGTATGGGGAACTCTCAAATAGCGAGAATTCGGAATGCATTGCATTAGCAAGGACCGTATCTTGTCGATGAAGATTTGCAGCTGCACAGGACCTTATCGGTATCCGTAGAAAGACCCTTGGCCAACTTAGAGGGAACAGGGAGGGCGAACAATCACAATGAGAAACTTAGAGTGGCAATGAACAAATGGCCCAATTGCGATAAAAGCATCTTCACAAAATAATGTTTCCCATCAACAACTATCTCCCTCCAAGCTTAGAAGCTTTCCCGGCTACTCAGAGCATCATAATCACCCCAACCCAGCAAAGATCGGGCACTCCAAGCAGCAAATCCCATATCCACAACAACAGGAGCGAAGATGATGATACCGACAATCTGGCCAAAGCCCCAATTGTTTCCCCCATAACCATTTCCCATATGTTCCGCTCCAGCAGCTTGCATCCTTCGTAAGCGAAATATGCACCACAATAGGCAGCTCCCAAATATAATACATGTAGGCAAGAACAAGAGCATACCGCGGTGACCGTGCCATCCTCTCTGAAGCTTTTCATGAGTTCTTGACAAGACTTTGGTCGCCTGGTGCTCTTTTCCAGAGAGTTTTCGCCTTCCTTCCACCGCTGCAAGCCAGCTCCCATGGCATACCATAAAGTGAAGAGGAACAATAGCAGGGAGGCTATGATCTCGCAGATGGCGAGCAACCAATGTTCCGCATCGGTGAATCTATCAATATCCCCGAAACACATGTTCTTTACACGTTCATACTCCTCTCCAGTGATGAGTACCACTTCTTCAGTGCCTCCACCAGCTGCCTGGCCAACCCGGAGTTCCGCCCAGTTGTGGATGCACTGAGATAAAAACGGATAGAAGAACAGAACGATAACGAGAGAGAACATAATCAGTCTGAACTTATGACGTCTCCCGTTATCTTCTGCCTTTCTGTCCGCTAAATGCTGCCTAGTGCTTTCGGGATGGAATATTCAAGCAGGCAAAGGGGCAATCGGATACACGAGTGATATAATGCACATAACGGCAATAGCTAATGTGTTCTGAGCTTCGTTAGCCCCGAAATCGGCAGTAGATATACCAAAATCCTTGTTGACGAGCATGATAATCGTTGCTAGCTCTATGGCAACAGCGAAATAGATTGCGAATTCGAAGAAGGCCTCGAGACCCTTCTTGGTGACGATTTGAAAGAACTCCCATCTTCGAACCTGTCTTTGTCGAATAAACATCATGAAAGCTGCCAAGAGAAAGCCAACGGCCAGTTCGATTGCATAACCGATGCAGACCTATTAAATTATTAGAGTCAGAATCAATCACTTCATCGGACACGTTGTTTTGCACTCACTCCTATACCAGAGATATCAGGATTAGTCTCTCCCCAGATGGCATGGCAGATCTCTTCCTTGCATTGATCCAGAAGTTCAATACTGAAATTGGTGTGTGCTCTCACAACCCCAATGTAATTGTTAAAACCGTTGAGAACTTGGAGTTCTTTGCATGGAACTGCTGCGGCCATCGCGCTTGACTGTTCGCGAGAGATGATTAGCGAGTGAAAACGCGCAAGAAAGCAGTGAGAAAGGACTTTGCCCAAGATTTATAAAAGATCTCGAGACCGCAGAGCCTCAAGGGAGAGAGTCTGGCTTCTTAGACGGATTGTCCAATTTCCTTGGTCTTAAACCTCAGCTGTAGAGCGCATGTTCTTGTCTGAGGATCGTGTAGGCAAAATGTCCGCTGTAAGGCATCTGAGACTAGCAGGTCGAAGGGATAAGAGAGGCTCCCAGAAACTGACGAAAGTGTGAGGGTCAGGCATATTAACCGTGTGAAACAAAAAGCCACCGTTCCTAAGAACGTTTCGGAGCTCGCAAGGCCGCCAAATAAGGGAAAAGGAAGTCACGTTGACTTAAGTGAAGAATCCATCCTGAAAGCGCTTATTTCTTCACTCTTTGCGATCGAAATTTGTCAAGTTTGGCTCCCTGCCATCGGAGAACAATATCATATTATGATATCAAGCTCAACAGCCATGTCAGGTGCCTGGCATTTCACAGGTGTGCTGCGTTTCTCAACTTCATTTTCCTTCTCACTTCTTCACTTTTTGACTGCGATCTGTACACTCACCGCCATGACTAAGCTGCGCAGGCTGTTCAACTTCATCATTTGCTGCCATGTCATCCTTTGTGTTGTTGAGTGCGCGGTTCTCGTAACCTTAACACCTACAGAAAGCCGGGGTACCTCGGAATCCGAGGTAACCTTGCCTCCAGTTCATCCAATTGCGCTTCTTGAAAGGCAAGCACCGGGCCAGAAGACGTGTGGAAACAGACTGGTTTGTCCCGGTACTAGCACGTGTACGACAGCTCAGAACCACGTTGGGTGTTGCGGGTCGAGGGGTGGTTGCTCCATTTATACAGAATGTAGGAGGGGTTACATAGCAGCCTATGATGGAACAACACGAACAGCGGGATGGGCTCTGTCAGCCATCCCCACCTCAGTTTTGTCATGGTAAGGCTATTCAATGGACAAAAGAATCAAATGAATCCGTGCTAATGGTACTTGACAGCACGAGAGCCGCACCTTGGTGTGTGACGATGGTATGGAATTCTCTCACGGCATTTTCATGTTCCGAAAGGCTACCACCTCCAACTGCTTCACCAACAAAAACAACGCTACAACCAAGCACGACCTTTGAAATTACACATTTCAGTCCAACTGGCAGCAGATCTGCATCTGTAAACCCTGGAGGACCGGGTACGGGATCTGCATCTGGACATCCTGGAGCACCGGGTACTTCTTTGCCATCAGACGCTCCCACACTCACGCTGACCGTAGGGCCCCCCGGCCCAACAATCACCGATGAATCGTCAGTGATTTCGGCGACGGAAACTTCTACCGTGACATCCACAACTTCTAAACCATGACCCACGAGACCGCCACCGGGAAGCGGCGTGATGCAAGGTGAATCATCATCGGCTCAGTTCCACTGTGTTGAGCATGCAAGCTGATGGAGAAAGATCTCACAAGAGATCAGCATATTGGAGTCAGTACTGGTTGTGCAAGTGTTGCTCTTATGTTTCTCTCAAGCATTGCGTAAGTTGCATTCCCCAAGCTTGTATCTGACCGCCGATGTCCCAAAGGTGCAATGGCACAATTTCCAGGATTTTCGCTGATTCAAAGCCAGATACTGTGCTTGCTGGCCCCTTAGGAGAAAAAGAACAGGTCCGTCTACTACAAATCTTGTCGTAGGCCCTCAGGCGCCGAAACCGTACGAGGGGTTCAGGCCACCGCAAGTCTCAGAGATTAGAGGGTTGACCCCGCCGGGAGAGAGTCCGCTGATGGGTCCCTCTCTTCAAGAGACTAATTCGCTGCAGAGTTCGCAGCACGTGGCAGCGGCCCGTGTAGGTACGGTTTAGTTCGTGGTATCATATTCCTCCCGAACTCGCTATTGATCTCGTGATCAAACCTGTACTACCTGCTAGGGACTCTTGGGATGCTACGAGGCAACTAATACGCTTCACTTGTCATGTTTGTAGTTTATCTGTATTTATTTTCAAAGGAATTATCGCAAACTAGGATTCCACTTGGTCAATGGCTCCCGTGAGAATACACTGTAGTTTTCCAACTCCTGATCGGTTTGCCTGCATATCCCAAGTCAACGTATTCGTGACGTTCAGACGAGTGAGCACAATTAAATCGTGAGCAATGATCTCGCTGCCCATGCCGCGAAAGCCATTTCTGTAACAACCGGCGCAAAGATGATGATACCGACAACCTGACCAAATCCCCATTCGTTGCCGGTGTATGTACGGCCCGCTCTCTCAAGCGAAGCGGATTGTATCTCTCTCAACCGGAAAATACCCCACAGCAAAGGCAGGACCAAGACACTCGGGGTTAAGAGCAAAACTGCTCGAATAACACCGTGGCTCTTCCATGATTGACTGACCAGCCTTCGCAACTTGAGGAGCAGCCTGGTCAAACATCGTTCCTCGCCGAAAGCTCGGTCTTGAGCCGCCATTCTACGAGCGCCGACTTCAACTGCCAACCAAAGTGCAAAGAGAATTATAAAAACTGAAGAAACAAGCTCGAAAACAGCCAAGAACTTTCTTTCTGTATCGGAGAGCCTTTTGCCATAGTCGAGGCACAGAATTTCAAGTTGATTCCATTCTTCGTCAGTCGCCAGCGTTTCACCGTCGGCGCCCTTGCCTTCACCGACCCGAGACGGGCCCCAGTTGTGAATGCATTGAGACAGGAAAGGATAGAAGAATAGAACAGTGAGCAGAGAAAATAGGGTGAGACGAACGTCTGCTGATGTGACCGAGATACTCTCCGATGGCTCTGGCAACTTTTGTCTCTCAGACTCAGGGTGGTATAGACGTGTTGATAACAGAGCCATCGGATACAACAAAGGTAAAATACAGACGACGGAGACCGCCCAGATTATCTGCGCCTCAGTAGCTCCCAAGCCTGCAGTTGAGATCACAAAGTCTTTGTTTACAAGCATATAGATCGCGGCAACTTCAAGTGAAATCGCAAAATAGATGGCGGATCCGAAGAATGCCTCGAAGCCAGCAGCGCATGCCAACTGAGCGAACTCCCAATGTGGGCCTTGTCTCTGCCGAATGCTCAAAACCGCTGCAGCAAAGAACAGGCCGAGAGCAGCCTCCACCGTATATCCGATAGACACCTTCATCCATAAGCCACTTCCGAGCAATTGGGAACGAAAAGAGTCATACTCCAATACCAGATATATCTGGATTACTTTCTCCCCAGATTGCACCACATATTTCTGTGCTGCAGTTTGCAAGGAGGTCTTGTTTGAATTGCGTTACATTGCGAACTTGGCGGAGATAATCATCAAATCCTTTCAGGGATTCTAAGCTTTTGCAATTTGGTTGAGAACAAGTAGTCATAGTTGCTCGCTCTTTGGAGGGAATAGAAATAAGCACGACCAAAGGATGATCATTGACTTCGACAGAAAACGCTGGAAAGGGGATTGTCGAACTGTTATAATTGGTGCCCCAACCAATGGAGGGATCCAAGCAGCCAGTCGTGACCTAGATGGCCGAGATCTGCCAGCTGGGCGTGTTATCGGGCGCCATGCAGTAAGCTAGCGAACATGAGGGTGCGACCATGATAGCAGGGGTTCTGAGCCTTGGAGCTGACGGCAGATGAAAAGTGTGATAGTAGACGATCAAGCCAATCAAGACCCTAGAACCTCACCGTAAGCAGAGCGGATGTGGCGGCGATTCTTTCTCCAAAGACCTATTTGTCCATTTCCATCCGACAAGCCAGCTGGAACTTTGTGCGACTCAAGCTATTTTAAGACAAGGCTGTGGTCAAATAAGTGTGAATGGGCCTACGAATTTTGTTCATATCTCCGAGTCACCCCCGTAACTATCTTGCTCTTGAGTCTGACAGACTTGGTATCTAGTCTTATCAAAACCCAATACAATGCTATCTTTGATTCAGGCCACCTACTCAGGCTTTTTTCTCATAAATATTGCGAGATGTTTGGCGCAAGTATCTCGAATTGCACATGACCAGGCTACGCCTCAAATCTCGGGAACAACACGCCCTCCAAAGGCAAGAATGAGGTTTCCTAAAAGACAGAACGCATTTCAAGACATTTGCCCCAAGGTTAATAGTGAGTCAGAGCTATTTCTGGCTAGTCGGTTCGATTTGCTGAGTGTGCCCCCGCAGACATTTCCCTGGAGTGCCCCGGCGATGATGTTTGTGTCAGTACAACTTCGGACAGTGACTTTTATCTTCGTTGCTGCCCGAGTGGGAGCGACTGTGTTCCCTACACAACTTGTGTCGACCCAAGTCTTCCACAGCAGACTTCCACACCAAATTCTCTCGTAATGACTTGGTGAGAGACACTATCCAATCAGAGAGCCGTTTGTATTTTGACGCCCAATTCTTTTAGTTCCGACGATGGATCGTTTTGTGTTGATTATGTATGGGGCTCTGGAGCCGCAACATCGTTCTCTTGTGGTACAGCGCCTACGACCATCGTTATAGACATAACTTCCAGCAGTACAAGATCTTTCTCTACCAGATCCCCCACACATACGGCCTCATCTACAACGAGACCACCAGCCCAGCCCAGTAGCCCAACTGGAAGTGGCGATAGCCCTGCAGCACAAGGTAGGTGGCTCATCCAAACACCGACTCCAAACACCGACTCTGAGATATCTGCTGACACTTGAGATCAGATTTGAGTAAAGAACAGAGAGTTGGAGTTGGGGTAGGCTGTGGCAGTGCAGTATTGATTATAGTCGCTGTCATCATGTAAGTTGACACACTCATCACATTCGAATTGTCTGAAGAGAGCACGAGTATTGAACGCCCCACAACCAGATACTGCGCTCGCGGCCCAAACTGTAAAAGACGAAGCGGAAAGAATTCACATATATCAACGAATACTGCTGTGTCAGGTACTGAAAAGAATGCCGACTTCACGCCACCTGACAATCGCCTGCCAGAGAACCACTGACATCACACGAGGCCACATCACAATCGAAT